CTGTTAAAATTATGGCGCTTACATATCAACTAAAAAAAGTTCTTGTTTGTTATTAAAAGTTCGTTTTTGAATAAATAAATATATCAAATGCGGTATTATGTTTTTTATTTTTGGAAATGAAGTTTTTAAATAAAATTTAAATAAGAACATTTTAAAAAGGGAAAAAATAATTTTCTATCCTTATATACTAAATGTACATACATACATAAAAGTATATGCAATATACATACATTAAAAAGGAAAATTAAATTTAAATCTATATCGAGATTTTTTTAGTTTTTTTTATATATATATATCGTTTTTCTTTGGTAAACCGAAAATATCAGTTTTTTAACGGTTTAAAACCTGAATAAAAAACCTCGATTAACCGAAAAACGATGTTTTGGTAACGGTGCCCATACCTAGTAGCCTTCGACTGAACGGAGAAACACCTCTTAGAGTAGAAACTCCACAAAAAGCTTGTCAGGTGTATACCACTTTTCAGGCTTACAGCACTTTATTCAGCCACATATGAGTTTTGTACTGCGTCGTGTACGCTGAAAGCTATAGCGCCTAAGAGGTGCTTGGTGTGGAGTTCTACTCTTAAGACCATCGAGTCGGCAGCCGCTAGTGGTGGAAGAGAAAGAGGAAGGACTCGTATAAGTCAAAGGGGAAAGCACTTGATCCTAGTTGCTATTTTTATTGTTGGCGTCTGTTTGCACTAAAAAAGGAAAAGGAAGCTAGAATTGCGCTCTGGTGATCTTAACTAAAAGCGCTTATATGTTTGTTGTAACATTGGTATGTAAAATTCGAAAATACCACCAGTAAATACATACCACCAGTTATCAACTTGTAGCTACATATGTATGCACATACTTATCTTCATTAGGGCGCATCACCAAAAAAAGTTGTGGGTTTTTCCATCGGAGTTATAAAATTTTATATTTCAAAACTTCCGCCAAAATATATCGCAAATTTATTAACATTTACGTGAAGTACGTGAGCTAGATCGATTTGAAAATACTTTCAAAAATCTCATTATTGCGATTCTGTTGATACAATTTTTAAGCATTTCTTAAGCAGATTTTTTAAGCTTAAACTCTTTTATCATCTGAAGTGTTTTTTTATGTTTTTCAAAAATTCATTTTATTTATAAGAACCTCCATTTTTGAAGGTATTTTCATGTAAATCTTACTATTTTTCCGAAATGTTTTGTCTGAAGTAGAGACGGTCGCGGCACTAAATATTAAAGCCCGATCCCACCTATCCCGCCAGATTTGTACCGCAGGTCCCACGAGTCCCGATATCTATAACTAAATAAAATTCACATGGCTTTCAAAGTAATTTTATATGCAATATCTTTTCCTCGAATATAATATTTTTGTCATATGAAACGATCTGACATCTTCTGGTTGGTCTGTTTTGCTTTGTCGTTCGTTTTTGTCTGAACATAAAATTAAAAAGCACTCATTTCATACAAGGTGTTTGGAGGCTGCGGGTTTTATCGAAAATGTCGGCAATGGATTTTTCCATATCGTCCGGAATTTATTAAAGACCTCCCCGATACCACCCAACGCAGCTATATTAAAATTAGCCCCGCGGGTCACGGTATCCCGCGTCCATCTCTAGTCTGATGGAGAACCCGATTTTTTGTATTGAGACTGACGCACCCTAATGCATATACATACGTTTTATTTTTTTGTACTGTGCATGTTAATATTTTTCAATTTCTGCGGTTCGGTTCTAAAACTTTTTAATAAGTTGAAACTCTAAGCGGCTTTTAGAACCGACGAATGCGAATGTATACAAACACGTCGAAGATGGATCACAGATGCTCACTGAACGAACGAGTTGTAGAGGGACGCAATGGTCGACGACTCTTCAATAAAAAAAAAAA